GTCACCCGAAATGTAGACAAAACACATGGGCAGCTATATAATGCAGCCTATTACATTTCGGGTGACGTCACGCGTTTACACAACAGCAATTCAAAACGAAATGCAAGTACTGTAGTGCTAGCACTTTGAAAAATAAATGCATTTAACATGGTGGAAAGTTGTGGAAAGTGTTCAAAAAGATAGGTGAGATGTCCATGTAGATAGATAAGTGTTAAAAAGCCCGATCATTTTGCGTTTTGTGAGCGATTTTTCGTGGAAGCTTTGGGGAACAGGTGCAGTTGCGAAACCTAGCATAAAATGTTCTATAGCCCTGTGGCAACTATACGCGGGCTATAGTACTAGAGCTAATCATGGGGAGTCTCCGCAATGTCAATCACAGGCACTTGGAGCGTTTCAATAAAATATAATGCTAAATAAATACGAAATCTATTTACTACCAAAGTCTTAATGTTTCTATACTCTCTTTCACCTATTATTGCTGACAATTTCCTGCAAATGCCGTCCAAATGCTCATTTGCAACAAACCCTGGCTACCGCTGCACACCGACACATAAATATATTGCAGGTAGGAAAGCGTGCTGCAAAAATTCGCTCGACGCTCGCTTGATTTCACACAAATACAACTATTTTACTCCATCTTTGTTTCTATTTGAAGAACAGTGTTCACTTGTTATAAAAACATACTGTGTGTTCGTAACCGAGCTGTGCCACGCAAAATTACACAAAGCCTGACGAAATTCTCACGTTCGCTCCCATTGCGCAGTTTATGTAAATGGCTATAGTACAGGGCTATAGACTGCGCACTGCATTTTGGGAAACTATCACGCTGCTTTCCAACTCCCGTACGAGCCTAGCCAGTGGCGCGTTGCAAAAACGTTGCAGAGCAAAAATGAGGTCACGAAGAGCGCCGATGGGCATTTCCTGATTCTGACAGCCATTTACATAAACTGCGCAACGCGAGAATTTCGTCAGGCTTTGTATGATTTCGCGTGACACAGCTCGGTTACGAACACAGACAGTATGTTTTTATAACAAGTGAACACTGTTCTTCAAATAGAAACAAAGATGGAGTAGAATGGTTGAATATTTGTGTTGTATTCGTGTGAAATCAGGCGAGCGCCGAGCGAATTTTGGCAGAACGCTTTCCTACCTGCTATATATTTATGTGTCAGTGTGCAGCGGCAGCCATGCGGTCATTGGATAGGATGTTTATTACTGGACATGCTCTCTATCCTTGAGCCGCCATGGCGGCAGCCAGGGTTTGTTGTAGCTCTAGTACTATAGCCCGCGTACAGTTGCCACTGGGCTATAGAACGAGCCATTAGGGATGCGCGGGACCAACTTAGACCTGCTTATACCCGGCTATAAAACGTCTGTGGTAGGCAATTAATGCCTCTTATCCAGGGTTAGACACTAACCATTTTAGTTCATTAGTCCACAGGACTAGTAAAAGAAAAAATC